GAGGGGGGGTTACTAATTCGGACAATGCCGGACAAGGGGGGGAGGGGGGGTCTGAAAATCCATCATTTGGCCGGACATCCTTTGTGAATGGCCCCTTATAACATACAGTATAGTATATTGTGGTTAAAAAGTGGCAACTGAATAGACTATCGCCAAAGAAGGCGGCAACTTCTATCTTTATATTTCCATTTATACTGTGTATATGATAAACGTGCGAACGAATAGTTCAACTATTAGCTAATTTGTTTAGGATATACTCGGGACGAGGATGTGCTTTTTCAACAATTTTATTATTTAGTTCTTTGTTCGTTTGCATGGCGATAAAACATATAATAGTTTTGTTTGTGGAAACACGTAAATTTATTACTGCAAAGCTTTCGATCCATAAGCCCGGATCTTCATCAGTGCTAATAATATGTGACTTGTTCAATAAAGGTATACCATTCCAGCGAAAGCAAATTGTTTCGAGAATTTGCACACATAAGGACAACGTGAATGAATCTCAGAAACGTGCTGGTATGTACCGCATTCCTTGTGAATGTGGTCTAGTTTACATTGGTGAAACTGGTCGAAATCTCTCAGTACGTCTTAAGGAACATAAGAGGAATTGCGAGAAAGCCGAGCGAGATAAATCTCCTGTGGCTAAACACACTTGAACTTACGACCATCGTATAAAATGGGACGAAACAACCATAGCAAGCACATGCCATACACTGGGTAATATAGAAGATGCATGAGCTATAATTGCAATGCTGTCAAATGTGACTGCATTCCAAACAAATCACATATAAGAAAATTTATATACAACAATATATAAATTCAAGTTAATGAGACAACACGTTTGTCACCTTCAAACATGGTTATAATCTCATAGTAACAGGATAAGCTTGTCAACAGCCACAAAAAGGCGATATCCAATAGTCCAAAGTTCAAATGTTTCCCTGGGCACGTGTAAACCAAATGAAAGATCATCTGACCAATCATATGTCAACAACGAACACGCAGAACAAAGGTCAATGTGATAAGGGAGTTCACTTTGACAAATATCCCAACAACGAGCAATGTCGTGTTACCGAGAAAGAAAATTTCCACCCACCCACCCGTTCATGTTCCTGGTATCTGGTGCATTGTATGGGTACTAACTAATGTTATGCAAGGACTATTCAAGAACAATTTGTCAAGAAAGATTATCGAACAATTTTCTCATGGAAAATTATCGCTATGTAAATACTTAAATTGGTTTATGTTGAAACACACAAAAATTTTGGTTCGGGGTTGAAGTGTTCCCAATGGTCAACTTCAGGCCCATAGACTGCCCCCATGGTGGCCCCCCACTCAACCATTTTGCCCCCCCCCCCAGTCAAAGTCCCTTTTCTCTAGAATATAAGCAAAACATGGAATTTAGAAGGGAGGTTTGATATTCAAGTAACTGAAATTTGCTTTGTGAATCTTATGTCCTATCTTTTATGTTTAATAAATACCTTATTAGATTTTAAACATTTCCCAGGCAGTGGATTGCATTTCCCAGACCCTATAGATTTGAGTTGTTGGACAAGTTAGTGACCGCAGGGGGGCAACAGGCCCTCAACCAAGTGTTTTATAAGGGGGGAGGGGATAATTTTGGCCCCCACAAAAAAAACAATTTGATTTCGAAACTAGAAGTATTTGAAATCATATATACATATAATCAAATATCTGTAATCGATATTTTGAGAACATTTCTCGTAATAATCCATCCTGACTCGCGGATATCATAGACTCACAAATCATAATGAACGAATTAATGAAAGGGCCAAACAAAAGACGTATAGAAGACTTTGAAAATGCCATTTCCGATGATTTAGAGACGCAAAATTTTCAAAATTTTTCCGCTCTGTGCCAACCATGGTGGCGCTTCGTGGGAGTCGGGAACTCTAAGTTTATCAAGCTGGCTCCCTAAGTGACGGCCAAGTTGTGGTATCTACATATAAAACATACTATGCAAGTACTTAACTGAAGGTTCAGTCTATCTACAGCATAATGTAATGCTGTATATCCAAAAATCTGTTTCAGAAAATGCAGGGAATTGCAGTCATAGGGGTAGAAAAATACAAAAATTTTCTGGGGGAGAAAACCCCAGACCCTCTCCAGGGCCGTAGCAACTGCGGGGGGGGGGGGCTGGGGGGCTGCAGCCCCCCAATAATTTGCTAATAATCATTCATTTTTCAAAATCATGCAGACCTTTATTATTTAATCCATGACAAACTGCAAAGAATGAAGATATTACCCATACTTTCCTGCAACTTATCCAATATATCGTTAATTAAATACACCTTCGTCCATTTAGTACTACTGAATTCTAAATTTCCACATACTAAAAACGCTGTTTTCTGACAATCAGAAATCCACCAAATTTTCCCCAAAGTCCAGGAAATGGCATTTCAGAGACTCTAAATTTAAAAATTTCCTCGGGCCTTCGGCCCTTGCTTTCAGCCCCCCCCCCAAATGAAAAGAGCTTCCTACGGCCCTACTCCCCCCTTACTATTAAATGCGATACCACACCAAACTTTTTGTTACCAACAAACCATCTATCATTGCTCCACACTCGGTATAGTATGGTCCCTTTTTGTAGATGGCCCCCCCACTGACGAATTCTTAAAAAATGCCCTG